AGAAAATCATTTGCTATGATTGTGACAAACTCGAATACAAAAGAACTGAATGTGCCAACAAGAAGAACAATTTCAAAAAGAAGGCACTAGAAGCTACATGAGATGATAGTGATGACGATGATCAAAATGAAAATAGTGGCCAAGACGAAATTGCCAACATGTGCTTCATGGCTATTGAGGAAGAGGTAAGCCCTATAGAAAAATTTTCATTTGAAGAATTATCAGCTTTTTATGATGAAATGCTTGAAAATTTTGAAAAACTTGCCAAAAGTCATTCCATGCTCAAAAAGAAATTTTTTTTTTATTAAAAGATGAAACAAAGAAACTTTTGGAAACTCAAAAGGAAAATAATAAACATGATTGTTTAATAAATAAAAATCATCTTCTTAAAGAAAAAGTAGATGACTTAACAAAAATTATTCACAAGTTCACCCAAGGAAAGAAAAAATTTTACTTGATGCTTGGGGATTAAAATGTGGTTTCGACAAAGGAGGTTTGGGCTACAAACCATCCTTAAAACAAAAAATCTCTTGAGAATATATTTGTTAAATTTTCAAAAACTATCACTTCTAAGACTACATGTAGTTTTTGCAATAAGATTGGACATGTTGCATATAATTTTCTTGCTAAGAAGAGACTATATTTTGAAAATAAGCACAAGTGGATTCAAGAATCGACAAAAACTAACTATCAAGGACCCCAAATTAATATGGGTACCAAAAGTCAAGAATTGAAATTATTTTTGTAGGTACCATCAAAAATTCGGAGCAAATGGTTCTTGGATAGTGGATGTTCAAAACACATGACCGGAGACAAATCATTACTATGTAATTTCAAAAAGAAAGATGGAGGTCATGTGACGTTTGGAGATAATGCCAAAGGAAAAATAATTGGTATCGGAAATATTGGTAACTATCTTTCCGCTTCTATTGAAAATGTATTATTGGTAGATAACCTTAAACATAATTTACTAAGCATTAGTCAATTGTGTGACAAAGGTTACAACATTAAATTTGATTCTTCCAAAGACAAATTAAGGATATTACATTCAAAGAGGTGGTTTTTGTAGGATGCCGAAATAAAGATATTTATATCATAAATTGAACAGAGAAATGATGAAAAATGTTTACTAAGTTTGAAAGAAGATACTTGGCTTTGGCATAGGAGACTAGGACATGTTAGCATGGACCTTCTCTCAAGAATTTCAAAACATTGCCTTGTTAAAAGTTTGCCAAGCCTGAAATTTGAAAAAGAAAGAATTTGTGAAGTTTGTCAATTTGGTAAACAAGTAAAAAGTTCTTTCAAAACAAAAATGTATTCTTCAACTACAAAACCTTTACAACTTCTCCATATGGATCTTTTTGGACCATGTAGAACCGCAAGTTTAGGTGGAAAATATTATGCTTTTGTTATAGTTGATGATTTTTCTAGATACACTTGGGTTATATTTTTGAGCCAAAAAGATGAAGTACTAAAACCTTTTAAGAATTTTTGTAAGAAAGTCCAAATTGAGAAAGGATATTCTATAATTTCAATTAGGAGTGACCATGGTGGAGAATTTGATAATGTCGCTTTTGATGATTTTTAGAATGAAAATGGATATGAACATAATTTCTCGGCTCCTAGAACTTCTCAACAAAATGGTATAGTAGAGAGGAAGAATTGCATATTGCAAGAAATGGCTAGAACCATGTTAAATGAAAACAATCTACCAAAATGTTTTTGGGCCGAAGCCGTAAATACCTCTTGCTACATTGTTAATAGAGTTTTAGTTAGTTGAAAGAAAACTAAAACTCCTTATGAACTTTAGAAAAATAAAATTCCTAATATTAGTTATTTCAAAGTTTTTGATTACAAATGTTTCATTTTAAACACTCAAGATAATTTGGGAAAATTTGACTCAAAATCTGATATCGGTATTTTCCTAGGATATTCATCGACTAGCAAAGCTTATAGAGTATTTAACAAAAGAACTCTAATCATTGAAGAATCCGTACATGTCTCATTTAATGAAACTAACATCCTTGATCGTGAGAAAAGTACAGAGAATGGTGTAGTTTTGAAGAGTTTATTCAAACAAATGAATATTCAAGATCAAAATCAAGGAGTTCAAAATGAAAGTTAAGAGCCAAATGATGAAGAAAGCAAAGAAAAATCAACTGAGGCTCAAAACGACTCTACATTACCAAATGAATGGGGTATTGTCCCATCTCATCCAAAGGAATTGATGATAGGTGATCTCTCTAAAGGTATTACTACTAGAAATTCTCTTAGAAATCATCTTGGAAGTTGTGCTTTTCTTTCTCAAATTGAACCTAAGAACTTCAAAGAAGCCGAGTTTGATGAATTTTGGATTCTAGCAATGCAAGAAGAGCTAAATCAATTTGAAAAAAATAATGTTTGGAATTTAGTTGCTAGACCTAATAATCAAACCGTGATTGGAACTAAATGGATATTTAGAAACAAACGAGATGAAGATGGAATTGTGCGTAAGAAGGCCAGATTTGTGGCCTAAGGTTACAATCAAGAGGAAGGAATAGATTTTGAAGAAACTTTTGCACCGGTAGCTAGATTAGAATCCATTCGTATGCTTCTTGCATTTGCTTGCTACAATGGATTTACATTATACCAGATGGATGTCAAAACTGCATTTTTAAATGGATATATTCAAGAAGAGGTCTTTGTTGAACAACCTCCCGATTTCAAAGATCACAAATATCCAAATCATGTTTTCAAACTTAGAAAAGCACTTTATGGCCTAAAACAAGCTTCTAGAGCTTGGTATGAACGTTTGCGTAAAGTTTTAATCTCAAATGGATTTTCTATTGGAAAGGTCGATACCACACTTTTTGTAAAAATTTATAAGAATGACATGCTTATTGTTAAAATTTATGTGGGTGATATCATATTTGGTGCCACTAACATATGTCTTTGTGAAGAATTCTCTAAAAGTATGAGCAAGGAATTTGAAATGAGCATGATGGAAGAATTAAAATTCTTCCTTGGTTTGCAAATTAAATAAGCTCCGAATGGAATCTTCATAAATCAAAGCAAGTATTTGCTAGAGATGCTTAAAAAGTTCAACATGGATGGGCTAAAACCAATGACCACTCCCATGAGTTCAACAATTAAGCTCGACAAAGATTACCAAGGTACTCCTATTGATGTGACTAAATATCGAGGTGTGATCGGATCCCTTCTTTATTTAACCGCTAGTAGACCCGATATTATGTTTAGTGTTTGTCTATGTGCTCGATTTCAATCTAATCCTAAAGAATCACATCTTAAAGCCGTTAAAAGAATTTTTAGATATCTTAGTGGTACTAGAAATTTAGGCCTTTGGTATCCAAAAAGAACTCACATCGACTTGCTTAGCTATTCGGATGCCGATTGGGCAGGTTGCAAAATTGACCGTAAGAGCACTAGTGGAACTTGTCATTTTCTAGTCTTTGCACTAGTTTCATGGTTTAGTAAGAAACAAAATTCCGTTGCCTTATCTCCTGCCGAAGCCGAATATATTTCAGCCGCTAGTTGTTGTTCACAAGTGTTATGGATGAAACAAACACTTAAGGATTATCAGTTGTCATTTGATCATGTTCTTATTATGTGTGATAACACTAGTGCTATAAATTTGTCTAAAAATTCTATATTACACTCACGAACGAAGCACATTGAAATTAGACATCACTTTCTTAGAGATCATACTCAAAAAGGTGATATTGCATTAGAGTTTGTCAATATGGAAAATCAATTGGTCGATATCTTCACTAAACCTCTTGCTCTCGACCGTTTCATAGACATTCGTAGAGGTTTAGGTCTTATTAACGAAATTGAAATGCATAATTAATTTAAGTTACTATGTGACTATATTAAAAAAAAAGGGTAGCAGACGTACCCAACGGACGAGTCCTGTAACGAATCTAGTTTGGCAGCAAAAATTTTGTTTTAGAGGATGAGTCCAGTACTTTTACCTCACGTCCGGTACACAAAAATCTCAGTTTATAAAATCGCGAACAGCACCCTCCTTTCTTCATTTTTCCTCCTTCTTCTTCCCTTCCACCATCTTAAACTTGGTCGCCTATGCCTATTTCATCAACATTCAAGCTTCACACAACATTCCATTCCCTAATCAAAGATTTCTACATCTTCTATTTTTCAAAAACTCGAACATTCACAGTTTTTTACCCCAAATCTCAGCCCCAATTTCGAGATTTTTTAAAACCCTTCAAATTTAACAAAAATCTTCAACTTCCACACTATGTCAAGATCAACATGATCTAGGAAGAGGACGAAACAAATGGTTCGACAATCTCTACCAAGTTCATAGGAGGAAAAAATGGAGTCGGACCTCGAGGAGCCCACAACCCATTTCGAAAAATTCCCTATCCTTCTAGGTAAAAATGTTGATTTTTATGAACTTACTATTGAGGCACTGCATTTTCGTTTAGAAGAATATTTTGCAATTATAGGTTAGGTGTTGGTTTGCACTATACAAGAAAATTCATACCCATGACTTGTGCGTGATTTTTATAAAAATATAGTTGTCACTCCCCGTATGGATAGCATTTCATGTTTCATTAAGAATGCACGGATCACTATCACAAAAACATTAATTCGAGATATTCTTGAACTTGTACCAAGTGACACTCAAGTTTCTGTGCAAAAAGCTCACTTGACCGTAGCGGGTTATGACCTTAGTGATGCATGCCATCATGTGACGGGAAAGGATTTTGAAAACATCACAAAGATTAGCACACACCACTTGTCTCTTCCATGCAAGGTTTTGCAAAATATCATACCAATGTCATTTTACCTAGGAAGGGACATCGAGATGCGGCTAATTATTTCGACTTTTTCATTCTTGATTCCTTCCTTGTTGGCCGCAAACTAGATTTTCCAACTATTGTGATGGGAACTTGTTTACTCCTCTCGTATTACCAAAGCTTTAACTTATGGTATGTTATTAACAAAAATTTTCAAGCATTTCAATGTTCCTTTAGACGATGAGAAAATCTTAAAGCCTCGACCCACTGACACTATCAATATTCAAACTCTCAAACGCATGAAAATCTATAAAATTCAAGGACAATGGGTGGCTAATACTAAAGGCTTTGACCTCGCCTCGGGACATTTGACACTTACATTCGAGGAGGAAAAGGAAGACGACGACAATCCATTACCTACACATCCTCCTCACCCTCTGACATCCAGTGGTCCATCATCTTCTTTATGTGGATTCACCTTTACTGAGGATCAGTATAATCTTCTCAATGGGCAACTCGGCTCACTCACGTCTTCAGTTGATGGGCTTAGTGGTCTTCTTCATCATGTTCAGTCAAAGCTGGCCATAATACAGGCTCAGTAGGATGTCATTCTTACACAGCAGGAAGAGATGCAAGCTCAGCAGAATGCATTCTATGCTCACTTTTACGTACATTTTCCTCCACCGCCTCCTTCGGAGCCTTACCTTTTAGTTTTATCTTATGCATATTTTTGTAGTTCCGAACTCATTATGACTCTATATTTTGGCGTTTTGATTATGAAATTATGAACATATGTTTCTTCTTTTATGACTCATTATTTGTCATTTTTAATCATGCCAAAAGGGGGAAATTATATGAGATGATATAATGCATAATAAGAATGCTTAAATAAAGGGGAGTACATGTATAAAAGACATGGGGAATTATTTCTTTACTTATCAAATTTTTATCATCTCTTGTTTGTTTCCTCACTTATTAAATCTCCATTATCTCTTGTTTGTCATAATCCAAAAAGGGGAAATTGTTGATCTACGGTTGAATTCTCATCTTGATTATAACAAACAAATTATGTTTATTGCTAAAAATTGTATTTGAGTGATGATAGAAGTTATGACAAATGTAGTAAATCGAAGACAAAATGTTGCTTTTGGAGCTTTCGCAAAAATTGAAGAAAGTAGAAGTCGAGCTACACAACAAGTCAACAAGCACTTCATCAAGTCAAATTATGAAGAAATTTGAAGAAATTAGACTTAATCACCTTGATGTCAAATGTAAAGGTAAAATACTTTAGTATTTGGCAAATAAGTTATTTGAAGCTCAAGAAAGTTTCTTTGCACAACAAACACGATTTTTTGCATAATTTTTTTTTTAAGGCGTGAACCTAATTATACACTTTAAGAAATGTCAAAAATCTTGAAAAACAAATTAGAAACATCTTTCATGAGATTACACCCTTTTAGAACATTAAAAGAAGAAAATTCTAACTGCCAAATGCAAACTGGTCTAGAGGACACGCCCTGTAACTCTGGAACTTTGGCCTAGAGGACGCGTCCTATAATCCTAGCGGACGTCCAGTACGACAGGTTTGTCCAACGGTCTGAAAATTGAACGTTCTGACTTCTGAACCAAAAAAACAGATAGTTAAGCGTCCGGTAAGCTAGAGTACGTCTGGTAGCCTCGTCCGGTAAGATAAAACTTTTGACGATTTTGCTGTTACAAATACCAGATCAGTTTGCATTCAAGACAACAACTCCAAGAGCATTAAAGTGAGATTTTCTTGAGCTTAAATATTTGTTTTATATTCTTTAGTCATCTCTATTATTCTTGAAAAACTTTTGATTGATTCAACCTTTGATAATCATCTCATAAAAGTTTTTCATATCTAACACTTGAGCTTCAATTATTGCTATTTATCAAAGCTTTAACCTTCTTCTCTTATTGTACTCAAATCCGAATAAATCATTCATTACAAGAGAAGTCTCTATTTATAAACTCTTTATTTTCAAACTTGTGGGTCGAGTTGAAGTCCCGAAAATTTCAACATTCAATATGAAAACAAGATTTAAAATAAAGAAGACCAAAAAGGATTAAACGTAGAGGAACGATGTTTATTACTAATCAATATGGAGAAAACAAGTACAACTTAGCAAAATTGCTTCTTACAAAACTGACAGAGAAGCCTCATACTTATAGGGAAAAATTCATCCTTAGAAGTAGAGTTGTAGATGAAATAAAATGTCTAAAAGTTTCCTTATTTGAACTCTTCAAGTCAACTCAAATTTCAACTCCCAATGGGCTTCAAAATATAATTTTAAATAGAATTTGACAATTAAACTTGAATAGGATTCCTCAAAGCATCCCAACTAAAATTCCTCTTGATATGCATTTCAATTAGAATTCTATAATTATTTGAACAAAAGAATCCAGGTCATCCCAAAATTCTAACAATCTGTACCTTAACACAAAGTTCGAAACTCCTAGATTTCAAATTCTTCTGTATCGAAATGAACTGGCCAATCTCCTCAACGCAGTAACCAAACATTCCATATAAACTAAACAATTGTCCTCTACCTGGTGTCCACAAGCGACACCTAAACCCAATCCCAAGGTTCCCAAATTCTTCCTCATAATTAATGTTGATCACATAGGGTCAAAGCACACCTTGTAGCAAAAACCAAACTAGATGCTTGATCAGAAGGCCCCTTACTGGAATTGTCACTTTCATCTTCCCTAGAAGTATCCCAGACATTACTTACACCATGATACCTACGCTCGATGAAACCCAGTAACTGAACATAGTGTACCCGCTGAAATTTGTGGCAAAGCAAAATCACCAACGCTCTCTAGCAGTGTTCTGAATTGGCTTAGAACCCAACACAAGAGGTAATGTACCAAACTGAACTTTCACCATGGTACAAAACTTGTCCAAATGTCTCCTCTTTACTGGTTCTACACTACCCTGCAAAATGTACAACTGGAATTTTTTTCATCCCCCAGTAACTGAACATAGTGTACCCGCTGAAATTTGTGGCAAAGCAAAATCACCAACGCTCTCTAGCAGTGTTCTGAATTGGCTTAGAACCCAACACAAGAGGTAATGTACCAAACTGAACTTTCACCATGGTACAAAACTTGTCCAAATGTCTCCTCTTTACTGGTTCTACACTACCCTGCAAAATGTACAACTGGAATTTTTTCCATCCCTCCGGTACAACCCAGACTCCCTTTTGGACCTTCAAGAATACACCTCCTCTAGAGAATTTATACCCTTTTGCATCTAAGGCACTCAATGAGATGAGATTCCTCTTCAAATCTGGAACATGTCGAACTTGGCCAAGTGTTCTGACTGTTCCATCCTGCAACAACAATTTGACTCAACCGATTCCAGCAATACGGCAAGACTGGTTATTTTCCATTACAACTCCACCTTGCTGAACAGCCTCATATGTCTGAAAATAAATTCCTATCAGAACACATATGGTGTGACATTGTCGAATCAAGAATCCACTCTTCGTCAGGCCTATATTCCACGTCAGATATCATGGTCAACATCACATCTCCACCATCTAAAAAATCCTCAACTACATTGGTTTCGTCTGAAGTCAAAGGTTGTGCTCTACGATTTGCAGCTAAATCACCTCTAGTCTGCAACATATCGCAACCCTTCCGAAAACATCCCTTCCGTTTGTAGTAATAACAATATACATTGCTAAAGTTGATTTTCAATCTGCCTATCACCTTGAGATACAAGAACTTCTCCATCCCTTGATGTAGCTCCAATCAAATGCTTCATCTTCTCCTTTAAGTGCAAAACATCATAGACATCGTCTATAGTCAAAGTATCTCAGCTATACAAGATGGTATCCTGAAACGACGAATAAGAACCAGGCAGTGAACACAACATGATCAAGGCAAGATCCTCTTCGTCGTACTTATCCTCCAACATTTCCAAATCTGTAACTATTTCCTTGAACACAGCAATGTGATCTTCCAACGACCCTCCTTCCACTATGCAATGGGAATACAGCTTCTGCTTAAGAGCCAGTTTACTAGTAACTCTTAGTCATACATAACTGCTCTAGTCTTAACCATGAAGCAGCCGCTGTCTTCTCCTTTAAGATATCATACAGAATATTGTTGGATAAATGAAGATGAATCAACGACACAACCTTCCAATCCTTCCATTGTTTCTCCTTCTTTGTCCAATCAACTAGCATATTCTCAAAACCTAACAATGCATCGTCCAAATCCAACTGCACTAGAACAATCCTCATCTTTACTTGCCGAAAGCAACCTTTTATTACGATCTAATTGCAGAATATCATACTTCAACTCAGCCATCTCGAAAAAATCTAAACCAATCTACGAAAGGAACCTGGCTTTGATACCACTTGTTGGGCGTGGAAGCTCTTATACCACTTGTTGATCCGAAATCGGGTTGTAAATAATGAGATTTAATGACAATATTGAAGTAAACAAAATCACTCCATGAAAACAATATTTAAAGTAAAGAACAAAAAGGGTAAAATGTAGAGAAACAATGTTTATTACTGAACAATATAGAGAAAATAAGTATAACTTAGCAAAATTACTTCCACAAAACAGACAGAGAAGCCTCATATTTATAGGGAAAAATCCATCCCTAAAAAGTAGAGTTGTGGATGAAATAAAATGCCTAAAAATTTCCTTATTTGAACTCTTTAAGTCCAACTCAAATTTCAACTCCCAGTGGGTTTCAAAATAGAACTTTAAATAGAATTCGACAATTAAACTTGAATAAGATTCCTCAAAGCATTCCAATTAAAATTCCTTTTGACGTGTGCTTCAATTAGAATTCTACAATTATTTCAATAAAAGAATTCGAGCATCCCAAAATTCTAACAATAAGTTCTACTCAAAACTTAAACTAGCGAAGGTGGCAAAAGCTCACCCACATATCAATGAGTGGGGTTGCGTGGGTTAGGATGGCTAAAGGAATCGAGTCAACAGGCAAATTTTTGGATGAAAAAAATTAGAGATATTTCCGGCACATAACTAATTAATGTTTTGGACATTGGACGCAAAATTCTATTTTTTAATTAATTAAAGATTAAAAGATCATTTAGTAAGTTCTACTCAAAACTTAAACTAGCGAAGGTGGCAAAAGCTCACCCACATATCAATGAGTGGGGTTGCGTGGGTTAGGATGGCTGAAGGAATCGAGTCAACAGGCAAATTTTTGGATGAAAAAAATTAGAGATATTTCCGGCACATAACTAATTAATGTTTTGGACATTGGACGCAAAATTCTATTTTTTAATTAATTAAAGATTAAAAGATCATTTAGTTTTTTTTTAAAAAAAATTGGTCAAATTAAGGTCAAATATTGACTTCTGTTAACTAACAGATTTTTTACCGAAAATCATCCACATTTTTCCACCGAACAATTTTGATTATCCCAAGGGCATTTTTTTCCGAACCAATAGAATCAGATCGGAATTAGATAGAACCGATTTGTTTGGTTTTGGTTTTGGTTCCTCTACCAAATGGGTCGATTTTGAGGCCATAGATCGTGAATTGATCGGTACCGATCTGATTCTTGGTATTAACTTGAGAACTAATAGTGATTTTTTGCATCGAAATGCACTAAATGTTTGAAGATTAGATCCCAAAATTATTTCACATCTAAATTTCATTTTTTCATACACTAGTTTTCTTTGCAAAAAAAAAAAAACCCAAAGGGTAATCAAAATTCAAATGTAAATAATTTACAAATTCATATCTTTAATGCAGGATTTTAAGAATTAATTTTCTATCCATATTTTACCGTTTATGTTGTGTTTGATAGTTTATACCCTTTTTTTTCGTATTTATGAGTTGATCTTGTGTTTTTGGAGTGAATTTATTGTTTACGTGGTTTTTTTTTATTATTAGATTACAAAATTGACAAGCAAATTCATACTCTATTTTGTTTATTTTCAATTTTGCAAGTAATTTCATACTTTATTTTTTTAAAATAATTTTTAAATATAAAGAACCAGACTGGGCTGAACCAAATGGTTCGGTTCCAATTCGATTCTATAGTTAGAAATGATATTCAATTCGGGTTCGGTCTATAGTTAGATATGGGGCCAATGAAAATATTTGAAAACTACTTTTTCTACCTATTCAATATCAACCACGCATTCATACAATAAAATATTTTGCATTTAAATCTAAAAATTTTCCCTACTTTATAACCACATATTCTCTTAAAAATTACTCTTCAAAATATTATTTTTCTCAAATATTGATTGTAAAATAGGGGCTTAATGATCATGAATTTAAGGTATTTGATGCCTTCTGTGCCGAAACCTCAGCTGATCTTCACCCCGTTAACTGAAAATCATGTTCAGGCAGCTGTTCAATGCGCAAAAGAGGTAGCAGTTCAGCTTAGAGTCCGAAGTGGAGGCCATGATTATGAAGGCCTCTCGTACATGTCAGAAATGGATCAACCTTTTCTCATTGTAGACCTATCGAAACTTCGGAATGTACATGTAGATATACAGGACAATAGTGCATGGGTTCAAGCTGGCGCCACTATTGGTGAACTTTATTATAGAATTTCACAAAAAAGCAAAACTCATGGATTCCCTGGTGGACTTTGCACCAGCATAGGAATTGGAGGGCACATAACAGGAGGAGCATATGGTTCCATGATGAGGAAATATGGCCTCGGAGCTGACAATGTTGTCGATGCACGAATAGTTGATGCAAGCGGCAGAATTCTTGATAGGAAATCAATGGGAGAAGATCTTTTCTGGGCTATTAGAGGTGGTGGTGGAGCTAGTTTTGGAATCATACTCGCTTGGAAAGTCCGATTAGTCCCTGTTCCAGAAACTGTGACTGTTTTCACTGTTCCAAAAACCTTGGAACAAGGTGCTACAAAGATTCTCTACAGATGGCAACAAGTAGTTGATAAACTTGATGAGGATCTGTTCATCAGAGTCATCATTACAAAAGCAAATAGTGCTCAAAAGGGCGAGCAGACAGCACAAAATTTGTACCAAGGTTTATTTCTTGGCAGAGCCGATAGATTGCTTGGAATAATGGACGAAAGTTTCCCCGAGTTGGGATTGACAAAAAAGGACTGCACTGAAATGAGCTGGATCCAATCAGTGATGTATATTGGTAGTTACCCACCGAATACACCACCTGAGGTTTTGCTTCAAGGGAAGGCCTTGTTCAAGAACTACTTCAAAGCCAAATCAGACTTCATAAAAGAACCAATCCCAGAGACAGGAATTGAAGGACTATGGAAAAGTTTTCTTGAAGAAGAATCACCATTGATGATATGGACTCCTTATGGTGGCATGATGAGTAACATTGCAGAATCTGAAATTCCATTCCCTCACAGAGAAGGTGTCATATTTATGATACAATACGTTACCAATTGGAATGACGATAAACCAGAATCCATGACGAGGCACATGGAATGGATAAGGAAACTGTACAATTACATGACTCCATATGCTTCCATGTCACCAAGAGAAGCCTATGTTAATTACAGGGATCTCGATCTGGGTATGAACAAAAACGGGACATGTTTTACGGACGCAAGTTTGTGGGGCACCGGATATTTCAAGGACAATTTCAACAGATTAGTAAATATAAAGACTAAAGTTGATCC